GGGGAGAAGAGAAAGGGGAATAGAGGGGGGGGAGGGGGGAAAAGGGGATAGCGGAAAGAGAAGAGGGGATGTGGGGAAGGGATGAATGTTGGAGTAGGAGGAGAAGGAGGAGGAGGAAGAGGAGGTGAAGGAGGAGGAAGAGGAGGTGAAGGAGGTGGAAGAGGAGGAGGAAGAGGAGGAAGAGGAGGAAGAGAAGGAAGAGGAGGAAGAGGAGGTGAAGGAGGAGGAAGAGGAGGAAGAGAAGGAAGAGGAGGAAGAGGAAGAGGAGGAAGAGGTGGAAGAGGAGGAGGAGAAAGAGGAAGAGGAGGAGGAGGAGGAGGAGAAGGAGGAAGAGGAGAAGGAGGAAGAGGAGGAGGGGAGGAAAGAGGGAGAGAGAGGAATGTGGGGGAGGAATAGGTTAAAGGGGAGAAGAATAAAGAGGGAAGAAAGTAGGAAGGAAGAAAGAAGATAGTAGAAGGGGCTAAACGAGAGAGAGAGAGGATGTAGAAGAGGAAAGGGAGAGAGAGAAGAGGAAAGGGGGTTTGGAAGAGGAAAAACTGAACAAGGAAAGGGACAAATGAGAAAGAGGAGGTAGAGGAGGAAAGAATGAAAGAAGAGGAAGAGGGAGAGAAGAAGATGAAGGCGGAAAGGAAAAAAAGGAGGTCAGTAGAAAGAAGAAGTGAGGGAGGAAAGAGTGAAGGAGGAGGAAGAGGAGAGAGAGAGAGAGAGAGAATGAGAGAGAGAGAGAGAGAATGAGAGAGAGAGAGACGAGAAGAAAGAGTGAAAGAGCAGGAGATAGGGGGAGAGGGGGAGGGGGTAAGAGAATGCCCCTTTTTTTACAGGAAAATCTTGGGGGGGGGGCAAGGGTAATGGGCAGGGTGTAAGTGTGCGGTATGTGGTCTGTGTTCAGGGAGTGGGTGGCGCGTGGTGGCGCTCTTACATTATGTGGTCATGTGGTATGTGAAGGGGGGTAGGCCCGTGTGTGGAGATGTAGGAGAGAGAGAGAGAGAGAGAGAGAGAGAGAGAGAGAGAGAGAGAGAGAGAGAGAGAGAGAGAGAGAGAGAGAGAGAGAGAGAGATACATTTATCTATTTTTATTAATCTACAAACACACACACACACACACACACACACACACACACACACACACACACACACACACACACACACACACACACACACACACAAATTCATATCTATCTATCTATTCATCTCTCTCTCTCTCTCTCTCTCTCTCTCTCTCTCTCTCTCTCTCTCTCTCTCTCTCTCTATATATATATATATATATATATATATATATATAAAACGAACTTCATATGAAATACCAAAAAGCTATTCATGTCCGAGTGAGGAAACTTTCAATTCGATTTACAGCTATTTGATATAATTAATTAGATGCATTTCCACTGAAAAGTCAAAGGTGAAATAAACCCTTCTTCGTTCACATATTCTCCAACGCGTCAGATTCAAATAGATTCTAGTTTATCTATATCTAAAAAAATGCTTTATTCAGGATTACATATATATGTATATTGTTTTTCTTTTTCTTTTGTTTTTTTCTTTTTCTTTTTTTTCTTTCTTTTTTTCCTTTTTTTTCTTTTTTTTTTTCTTTTTGTTTGTTTCTTTCTTTTCCTTTTTAAAATCGGGTTATGGAGGTTTTACGAATAATTATATTTACATGACAATATTTAACAGAAAAACTAGACATTATTTATTCTGTCCTTCTCTCTCCCTAGTATTAATATTAGTATTATCATTATCATTAAATAGTTATGTTATTTCTTATATTTCTATTATTTCTATTATTGAAATTATTATCATTATCATTATTATTATTATTATAATTATTATTATTATTATTATTATTATCATTATTATTATCATTATTATTATCATCATTGTTATTATTATCATCATCATTGTTGTTGTTGTTGTTGTTGTTGTTCTTATTATTATTATCATTATCATGATTATCATCATTATTATTATCATCATTATTATCATTATTATTAATATTATTATCATTGTAATTCTTATTACCATTGTTATTGTTATCATCCTCATTATTATCACTATTACCATTATTGTTATTATTATTATTGTTATTACTATTTTTACTCTCATTATAATTGTTGTTGCCGTTGCTTTATTATTATTATCATCATTATTATTATCATTGTTTTTCTTCTTCATCTTCTTCTTCTTCTTCTTCTTCTTCTTCTTCTTCTTCTGTTTCTTCTTCATCTTATTATTATTGTTATTATTATCATTATCATTATTATCATTATTATTGCTATTATTAGTAGTATCATCATCATTATTGTTATCATTATCGCGTGTGTATATGTGCGTAAGTGTACGCACTTTTACGTGTGCATGCGGCAGGCAAAAATATTGCAAAGTTAGGCCTAAAAAGCTCCATCTCTCACAACCAATATGTCATTCTATCGAGGTTGAGGAAGAACTGAAACCTTGGCTTCAGAACGACTTGATTTTTTTTTCTTTTTGTTTTGTTTTGTTTCTTGCTTCTTCGATAACTTTTAGGATTTTTGAGGGAAAGTAAAAAAGAAGGGGGAGAGGGAGGGAGAGAGAGGGAGAGAGAGAAAGAGAGAAAGAGAGAAAGAGAGAAAGAGAGAAAGAGAGAGAGAGAGAGAGAGAGAGAGAGAGAG